AAAATTTATTTTGAAGGACATTTCTTTATACACCTGAAATCCCAGCACTCAGGATGTGGAGGTAGAAGCATCAGGAATTCAAGGTCATCCTCAGCTATATAGGGAGTTCTGGGCTAGCCTGAGTATGTGAGACTGTCTCAAAAATATAACTTCAGAGCCAGCCAAATGGCTCAGTGGGTAAAGGTGTTTGGGCCAAGCCTAATGATCCCTGGGACCTACATGGTAGAAGGCGGAACACCAACTTCTGCAAGTTGTCTGCCACCTTTGAGTTCAGTTCCTAGGATCCCTATGATGGATCCCACAACTGTCCTCTGATCTCAGTGCATGTGCCACACCCACACATTAGTACTATTACTATTACTACTACAACACACACATGCACGTGTGCATAAATCATTCTTCACATTTATGGTCCATTGATTTTTCACAGCAATACAAAACTTAAAAAGTCAATAGGGAAAGAAATGATGTTGGGCCATATGAGGTGGCACATATCTGCAATCCTGGTGCTCCAGGAAGTAGAGGCAGGAAGATCAAAAGTTCAAGGTCATCTTCAACCTCATAGTGAATTTGAGGCCAGACTGGGATACATGAGACCCCAAAACACCAAAAAGTCCCAAACCAAACCAAACACAAAATACAAATGAAGCTGGGATAACTAGATGTCACCATGCAGAAGAATAAAGTTGAATTCTAGAACTAGAGGGTGTGGCTAGGTGCTAGAGCACTTGCCTAGCATGGCCAAGGCCCTAGGTTCCATCCCTAGCCACCCCCCCGCCCCCAGAGTTGAATGTTGAATCCTACCTTACACCATATACAAAATTTAACTTAAATGGATCAATGTGGGTACTAAAAATATAAAGGTTATAGAACTGTAAACTATAGTAGCAAGCCTCTCTCTCTCCCTCCCTCTCTTACTTGCTGGAGATGGAACCTAGGGCTTTGTGCATGCTAAGTAAGCACTCTCCCAACTGAACTACATCCTCAGCTCCTGGTAGTAAGTATGATCTTGGATTTGACAATGGCTTCTTAGACGTGGAAAAAACATAAGCAACAAAATGAATTGGATTTATTTATCCAAAACTTTATAAAGTTTTTTTTAAATGTTAAAAAAAAGGAGGGCTGGAGAGATGGCTTATAGGTTAGGAACACTAGCTGCTCCTGCAGAGGACTGGGGTTCAGTTCCCAACACCCACATAACAGCTAACAACCTTCCAGAACTCCAGTTCTAGGGGAATCCAACACCCTCTTCTGACTCCTCGAGCACTGCACAACATTGGTGCACTTACACACATGTAGGTAATATGCTCATACACATAAAATAAAAATAATAAATAAAATAAAAATGTAAAAGAGAGAAAGGAAAGGAAAGGAAGGAAAGGAAGGAAGGAAGGAAGGAAGGAAGGAAGGAAGGAAGGAAGGAAGGAAGGGGAAGGGAAGGCAGGGAAGGGAAGGAAGGGAAGGGAGGGGAGGGGAGGGAGGGAGGGAGGGAGGAAGGAAGGAAGGAAGGAAGGATCAAATTTCTAAAAATTTCTAAGAGTTCAGTAGCTAGGAACATAATGGAGCATCCCTCCAAAGTAAAGGGGCAAGACACTGCACCCTGCTCCTCCATGGGAATGGTGCCATAACCATTTGTGGGTAACATGAAAGCTCCAACCTTGAGTACAGCCCAAGACAGGGCAGGGGTCTACAGCAGATCCACGCTGTTTGACACTACCAGCCCTGAGCCAGGTGCCATGACCTGGCTGAGTGAGGCAACTTCACTGTGGCAAAGGAAGGTTTTACATGGGCCCCTGAATGCAGCACAGCTATTGGGATGGTCCCAGGCACTGGCTGAAACTGAGGCTCTGACCATGGGCTGTCAAGTGACCATGTGACCAGAGATAGGTGGTCACAGCCACCTATCTCTGATTTTATCTAACAATTTCCTCAAAACCCTGGGCAATTCTAAAGGAGGAAATTCTTAAGGGAGGCTCAAAGACTCAGGAAGTAAACAAAATTGTCTCAGGAAGTCCCTCAAACTGATCAGACACACAAGGCCCTGCCTTCCCTAATGTTATATAAGCAGTAAGGACTACTAAGGAGACAGAGACCAGCCAAGCTGCTTGAAAGAGGTATCAGTTGAGCTGTGTGGAAGACGCACAGACCAGCTCAGTTGCCTACAGATTTGGGGGCCCTCACTCATCCTGTGGTGGGGTTCTGATAATGTAGTGGCCTTTGAGTCATTTCTGTTTCTGCACCTGACCCCTCACCCCTACTCCTGTACAAAAGGTCAATAAAACTCTTTGGTTCACCAATTTGGACTTTGATGGTATCCTTACTTTGGTGTACTGTGTGTTCCCTATCTAGGGTGAATAGATGATTGCTCATATCTCCCCAGAAATAGTGTCATACAACACTGTCACACAATAGAAGTGGCATTGCCCCAGTCAGCTTCAAGGAAGATCAGAGGACATGAGTAAGTCACACACCTGAATGACTGCAAGTTTCCCCAGGCCCAGCTCAGGGTGGCCCTGAATGTCAGCAAGGAGGGAGACGACCCCAAGGGCACAACTGCAGAGTCCTACATCGTCCACCTGAGGGGAGAAGTGTAAGGGAATGGAAGTATGACCATGGGCGGCCAGAGGGAAGAGGACACAACAGAAATCAAAGAGACCTTCCTGTCCCCCATCTGAGCAGAGCTCCAACTTGAGGAGTGAATGGCCACCTTTCTCCCCTGGGCATTGTTGTGAGTTTAGGTATAAATATTCCATATGGATCTGCATGGCAGGTCTGCTGAGCCAGGTTTCCATAGTCATTCAAACAGACACATGCGTTACCTGGGGCTGTGACAGCCATTCTATAACCACAAGGTGAACTGGAAAGGGGCAACCTCACTCACAGAGTTGGTGGCTCTATCACTGATCCTCTCAGATGAACAAACTCCAGGCATTCTATATGGGACTCTTGTATGAGCCAACAAGGTCCCTCACTTTAAGTCTACAGAGTCTTCACTGGTACCAGAGTGCAGATAGCAGAGGAGCCTAAAGAAGGGTTGATGAGATGAGAGAAGGGTGGGAGTGTGTGCTGCCTGCAATGGGGGCCCTCCACCTGTGTCCAGTGGAGTTCTAGATATCACTTACCTAGGGACTCTTTGAACCCTAAGCACTAATTTTTGGTCTTTTTGAGACAGGGTCTCCCTGTAGCCCCACCTGGCCTGGACTTGCTATGTATGGAGACCAGTCTGGCCACGATCTCACAGAGATCCACTTGCCTCTGCCTCTTGAGTGCTGGGTTAAAGGTGTGTGCCACCATCTCTGGCTCTAAGTACAATTTTTTAAAGGAATGTCTTTTTCAATTATTTATTTAATTTTTGTATGTATGTTTTGCCTACATGTATGCAAGTGTACCACATGCATGCCTGGTGCCTATGGAGGACAAAAGAGGGTGTCAGATTCCCTGAAATTGGAGTTAGAGAATGGTTGCGAATGGCAGCCATATGGGTGCTGAGAACCAAACTCTGATCTTCTGCAAGAGCAGTAAGTGCTAGTAAGTGCTTTCAACGACCTAGTCATCTTCCCAGCCCAAAACAATTTTTTTTTGGTCTTTTTGAGACAGGGTCTCCCTGTAGCCCCAGCTGTCCTGGCACTCACTACGCAGGCCAGGCTGGCCTTGAACTCACAGAGATCCACCTGCCTCTGCTGGGATCAAAGGACCGTGCCACCACATCCGGCCCTCAAAACAATTTTTAATTAATTAATTTTTTGAGACAAGCCTCACTATGCATCTCTGGCTGACCTGGAGCTATGTAGACCAGACCGACCTTGCACTCACAGAGATACACCTGTCTCTACCTTCTGAATAATGGGATTAAAGGCAAGCCACCATGCCAGATTTTTGTTGTTTGTTTTGTTGTTGTTGTTTTAAGACAAGGTCTCACTCTGTACCCCAGGCTGGCCTCTACCTCATAGCAATCCTCTTGCCTCAGCCTCCTGGCTGTTGAGACTAATTACAAGCCTGGGGCACCATTTTCAACAATTTTTTCCCTAAGAAACTCTTGATAGCTGGTCAGCATTATTACATTGGGCAACCCAGGCACAGAGAAGTGAAGAAACTTATGGAAGGTCACACAGCCTAGGTTAAAGTGAGGCCGTTTATTGTTCTGTCCTGTGATATACACTAAGTATTTTCAGAGATCAAAAGCAGAGGATCTTAAGGCCTGGATGTCCAAAGCTGCTTAATTGAGTGACATAAGTTGGGCCAGGTCACTGATGGACAGAATAGGAGGCGCAGGTTATACTGCAGACAGAACAGGACTAGCTTGGGTGAAGGGCACAGGCAAGCACGTGAAACAGCTCTTGGACACTCTGGTGTGAGGGGACACTTGATGTATGAGGGGGTACGGCTGGGGTGCCAGGGGCGTTTTAGGACAGGGGACACAAGAGGAGCGGCCTTAGACGGGGTTAGGAAAACCTAACCTCAGAAAAGGGGGGCGCACACGGGCACAACTTCCTACTTTGGAAATAGCAATTTCCTACAGGAGGGCTGAGACTTGGGATCCAAAGTGAAGGAGAACTCTGAGAGGAATCACCCGGCTGACCTGGGAACCAGGCAGGAGGAATTTGGAGGCCAGGAACCTGCTCCACTTGCAAGGAGTTTCTCTAGACCTCGAGACAGAATGAGGAAAGGAAGGGACAGCACGGTGGCAGAGGACGCTGCGCGCTCAGAGGACTCCAGGGTCCGGGCATCCAGGGGGCCACTGCGCCATGGGATAGAGAGAGCGCAGACCCTTGACCCCTTCCCCGCTGGCCCTGGATGCCGCGGGAGCGCGGGGCTCCCTCCTGGCAGCAACGGCCCCCGCGCACCCAGACGGAGCGGCTCTCCCGCCTCCGCAGCCGGGGATTAGCGTTCCGAGGACTGGCGGCGGGATTAGCCCGCGCGGACGGCGCCCGGCCCGGGGATTACCGTGCTCCCCCGCCCCCCGACGTATATATGCGCGCGGCTCTGGCCGGCGGCCCGCGGGCATGGCGGCAGCAGGCGGCGCGGCGAGCCTCAGGGGCCCCGGGAGGCCTTGCCCCTTCTCCATCGAACACATTCTCTCCAGCCCGCCGGAGCGCAGCCCCGAGGCGCGCACAGCCCTCCCGCCGCAGCCAGCTGGCAACCAGAGCCCCGCGGAGCCCGGCGACCCCGAGGCGCGCAGCGCTGCGCCCTGCACCTGCTGCTGCTGCTGCGGCCCGCGCGCTGCGCCCCGCGGAGCCCCGGAGGCGGCCGCAGGGCCGGGTGAGTGCGCGCGGATAGGACCCAGGCGGGCCTGGGGAACCTCGCGGGGGCGCAGGCGGGGCGAACCCGACCCTCGCCTGCGTCTGACCGCGCTCTCTCTCTGCAGGCACGCGGCTACCGTGGCCGCTGAGGCTAGGACCCACGGCGCCCTTGACCCTGGCCGCGCCCACAGGAGGCTCTGCGGCTCTGCCCGGCCCTGGCCCACAGAGGCGCACGCGGCGCCACCGCACTATCTTCAGCGAGGAGCAGCTGCAGGCGCTCGAAGCGCTCTTCGTGCAGAACCAGTATCCCGACGTGGGCACGCGCGAGCGCCTGGCTGTCCGCATCCGCCTGCGCGAGGAGCGCGTGGAGGTGGGTGTCGGCCCAGCATCCCTTTGGGGAGAGCGTGGGGGATAGCAGCTGTACGGCAACAGGGGCCATGCCTCTGCAGCCACCCTTCGTTTTCAAAGATGGTCCTGCCTAACACCTCCGTGTCACGTGGAGCCTGGTGCGCGTTGGAGGAACCCTCTTTGGATCACGTGATGAGATGCGTATGGCCAGTTCCCTGGGCGTGGGCGGGCGCTTTATGTGAGGGTCGCTGAGTTAGAACTGGAGGGGGTCAAGAGCAGTTTTCTGTAACTTTGTTTACTACCCCTCTCCCTTTCCCCTGATGATAAAAATGCATTCATTCACGCTGAAATGCACAAAACTAGCCAGGCATGGTGGTACACGTCTGTAACCCCAGCACTCGGGGAGGTAGGAGAATCAAGGTCATCCTCACCTACATAGTGAGTTAAAAGACTCAGCCTAGGTTTCATGAGGAGAGAGAGGGAGAGGGGGGAGAGAGAGAGAGAGAGAGAGAGAGAGAGAGAGAGAGAGAGAGAGAGAGAGGAGAGGAGAGAGACCCCCTATCTGCCAAGAATAAAGAAAAGGTGCCCATCCACCTACACCGGCTGTAGTGAAGCCTGCCACCCAGTATTAACCCTTACAAAGCCCACTTAGATGCGGGGCCTAGGAATCTGAGTCATCCTGGTTTTCCTCCTCCTCAGGTCTGGTTCAAGAACCGCCGGGCCAAGTGGCGACACCAGAAGCGGGCTTCAGCTTCCTCCAGGCTTCTACCTGGGGCCAAGAAACCTCCCAAAGAGAGCTGCTGATGGAGCCTGGAGCTTCTTGTGGCCTTGGCTATAATGGTGGGGCACAACAAAGATAGAAGATAGACCTACTTGAACAGGAACTAGGAGAGGATAGCAGTCTCTTCCATCAGTCTCTCTGCAGTGTCCATCTGCCTTGTGGTGGGAAGAAGTCTAGTGCCTCCTGACCCCTGAAAGAAGGGCACAAGGGCCAGGAACCAGAGATCCTCTGCAAGTGGAGTGGGGGCATAGAGCAGGTCAGTTTCCCTAGCTACCATCACCACCCAGAGGGACCCTAAAACCACCCAGGACCCAGAATCCTCTCCAGTGCAGCCTACCTCCCCCCATCATGAAGGACTTCAGGACAAGCCCCTTATCTGATCTTCCACCCTATGTGGAGGGCAGTGACATCTGCATGACTCTGGGCTTGCTATTTTCTAAAAAGTCTTGCACTGGGCCTTGGTGTCTGGACCTGCAGAACAAGCCTAGAGATGATAATTTCCAGAAGCCCCTGCATCTGCTTCCCTCTCTCTGTCTCTCTGTCTGTCTGTCTGTCTGTCTGTCTCTCTCTCTCTCTCTCTCTCTCTGGTGGTTTTTTTGAGATAGGGTCTCCCTGTAGTCCCAGCTGAGCTGGAACTCCCTATGTTAACCAGGCTGGCCTTGAACTCACAGAGTGCCATCTGTCTCTGCCTCTCAAGTGCTGGGAACACCAAGTCTGGCTGCTCCTTCATCTCTTAGCCTTGTGCTGATAACCAAGAAAAAACAAGAACTATAAATACCACAAAATGGTCCAGAGTCACAAATCCCCATGTCCCAGGCTCTGTTTCCACACCCATGGTGGAGCTGCCCCTCCTTCCCTAGGACTTGGGGGATCAGGGTGTTTTGGGGAGCACAGCCACAAGTCATTAGTCCCAGGATCAGGTGCCTCCCTGCAGAGTTAAAGCCAATGGAGGGTAGAAAGGCCTCTTGAGGGTTTGCTATGGTCTCTAGACACTACTAACCTGCTTCACGGATGGGGGTCTTTGGCTTCCTGCCTCTGGAGGTTTCAATGTATTGGAGTCTGCCTCTCTTAAAACAGTCAACCTCTGCCATCTTAGGGTGGTCAAGAAGAGGTTAGATTCAGGAGACATTCCATCCTCACTGCCTTAGAAAATGCTTGGCCTATTTTCTACCATCCTGGTCCTGCAGGAGCAGCAGGGAGCAGGGGGGTGTTCAGCACGAACATGACTTTTGTTCCCTGATGGCCCTGTGCAGTGGGCTGGAGGCTGCTAACATCTCCCTCATCTGGACTGAGTACTTTGTTCTGTCTCCTCATAGGTCCTGGAGGGTGGTATCTGTAAGAGAACTAGTCAGTCTACAAAATCCAGGCTGTAGAAACAAGGGTTGTAGCTCTTGGGACTATGTAAAGATGGCTGGCTTGGATAACACCAAGTAGGTGTGTATCCCCCAGCCAGAGCTGCCCTAACTTTGGGGGAGGTCTTCAGGACCAACACTCTCATCCCAGTCCTTAGGATGCATACTTCAGGCTATCACCAAGCACTTCCTGAATCCTGGCCTTGCTCTTGAAGACTACAGTGTCTAGCAGTGGGCACAGCTGTGTCCAGGGGGTCAGCTCACCTGCAAACTTGGACTCATATCTTGCTGGGTTCCAGGCTTCTGCCCTCCTTGGCTCTCCAGGATCAGAGCATGCCAGAACTTCTGTCCTCTCTCCAGCTGTCCCCTTCCTCTCCAGAGGCTCCTTGCCTGCACTCTCCCCACACATACACCTGGCATTAACCTAAGTGTCCAAAGGCTCCATCTTGTGAATCCTCCTATCTCCATTCTCTTGTCTCTTTTCCATCGTTGGACTCCAATTCCCACCTAAACACCACATTTATATGTCCATCTCCAGCCCAGGCCTCCCCCCTGAGCTAGATATTTATGTCATTTTGTTCCCCTAACAGCTCCACCTGGAAGTTCATCGGTTCCTTTCAGTCACCTTGTACACTGTGAGCTCCTCCTCTGTACAAATAAAGGGCATGAATCACAGAGCTCTGATCATTGATTGCTCCATGTCCCTCACTTAACCATACTCAGTCCAACTAATTTTATCTTTAAACAAATATATTAATAAACCCTAGAATCTCCTTCATCTTCAACTGCACCTCAACTACAACCTGATGCAAATTGCCATCACTTCTCACCTTGACCATTGTGCTACAGCTAATCATGCTCACCTGCACCTACTCTGGTTCCCCTTTAAATCAGAATAAAAATGAAATTCCTCACCAGAACCCCAAAGACACTGTACAGCCTAGCCCTATCCCTCTGGTGTCATCTAATACCTCACTGTGTAACCAAAGATCTGCTTTTCAGTTTGCCTTGCTTCCTCCCACTACTGGGCCTTTGCACACACCTTTCCAGTTCCACTTGATCAATGCCTATATATTCATCTTTTGGATCTACAATCACTTTCTGCCTGGGAAAATGTCACCTGACATGTCCTCTGTATAGATCAAGATTCTCTGAGTAAAAACTTCTTGCAAGTCACAGCTGCAATTTTACACTTATTTGTGAAATGATTTAACTAGTTTGTGCTTTTCCCATTGGATGGTCAGCTCTATGGGGACAGAAGCATCACCTTAGAGTCCCCAGTGAGCCCCAATGAAGGAGATGATTGCACATTGAAAAAGCAAAACTGTACCAAATCATTCTAGGAGGGTAGAACTTGTTTAACGTAATTCACAGTCTTCCTTTGGGAAGAAATTTCTAGAAAATGCTTTCACTGACAGCTGGCTGTCTTCTGGGAAGTTCACACTAGCAGTTAGGGAACTAATAAATCCAACCAGAAATTTAAGTGCCTTCTTGTTCTTTTTATTTATCTTTTGTTAGATAACTATCTGGAAAGAATTTGTCTTAGTTTTCTCTTCATGAGTTTGGAACTCATATCTAACCAAGTTTTCTGAAGTGTTTAAAAATAATTTTGAAGCATATGCAGTGATTGCGAAAAATTGAAATTACCAGGCTTTTCCAATTGGCCTTGAGCTGCCAATTTATAATCATGGGGAAAACGCGTCAAACAGCCACCCCACAGCGCCCTCTAATGATCGTACTTCGAACAAGCACACGCAATGCCTATGGGAGACAAAGACTACAACTTCTTTAAGATCCGGCGCTCTCCATGACATCATTGGGGGGCGCCGGCTGTTGGTACAAAAATACTGCTTTCCCATTGGCTAACTGTTGGGAGGAGCCTTTGGAAAAGGTGAATTCCCGCCCCCCCAACCCGTGACGCGCCTACGCCTCCCGAGAGGTTCTGGGATTGCGATGGGGACGCCCGGGTCCTCGGCCGGAACGCTGTTGCTGCCCTCCGCGTCCGGGCCCCCGAGGAAGCGCACGGCGACGGAGGCTGGGGCTACAAGGAGCAAGCAGCGGGTCCTGGATGAGGAAGAGTACATCGAGGTAGGGTCGTAGTGCGGCTGCTGGCGACTCCCGGGCTTCTCTCCGGTCCCTTGGTTCTAGTCTCGGCACTCAGCCGCCGGTGGAAGTGGAATTGCCCTTGGAATGTGGAAAGTCTCGAAAACCAATAAAAGAGTGAAGAGGGAGGTATCCTTAACTAGGGAGGCATTAACTGTTTTCAGCGTAAAGAAGGGGCGTTCCTGTTGTGTTGAGGGACAAGAAAAGTTTCCTAATAAAGTTTGCGTAGGAGCCCGACACGCTTTAAGGATGAAGGCAAAGAGGCCTTTCTGGAGGGCAGTAACATTGACTGTGAAGACGGGGTACTGGAAATAGACCGCGATTTTGGTCGCATCATTGAACTGAGCGGGCCTCGGGTGCCCCTTGATGTAAGGGTTGGTTCCACTGCAAACGCTCTGGAGGATGACCTGACACGGATGGGAGGATGCTGGCTTAGTTTTAGAGTGGTAAAATTTGGGACACTTCTGGATATGCTGGCGTGCGGCATTGGTGGGCAGCTGGATGCACAGATTTGCAGCCTGAGCAAAGTACTGCTGGAAGTGCAATCTTGGGAATTTCATCCCGGGATGGTGTAGTGCTGACAGACTGAAGTCACTTAAGGAAAAGGTTTAAGTTGACAGGTGGAAAAGGTTGACACATCTACATTGATGCCGCTAGTGTAGATGGAGCCAGCAAAGGAGAATGAGAATGACCAGTTAGTGAGGGGTTTCATGGACATCAATAGAGCGTTCAGTAGTGTTAGGTATTATGGAAAAGCCATAGAGGATGTGCAGCCAGCCTTACCAGAAAGCGCTCTTAAACTCTTGCAAACTCCAACCAACAGGATTGGCAGAAGTTAAAGGAGCAGCAAAGGGGCCTTAACTTGCAGTGAACTGTGAGACAGGGCACTCAGATGATGGTTCTGACTTGCTCTGATTTCTTATGATAGGGCCTTCAGACAGTCATCCAGAGGGATTTCTTCCCCGATGTGGAGAAGCTACAGGCACAGAAAGAGTACCTGGAGGCAGAAGAGAATGGAGATTTGGAGCGCATGCGCCAGATTGCCATCAAGTTTGGTTCTGCCCTGGGCAAGATGTCTCGAGAACCCCCACCACCCTGTAAGAGGATTCTGTAGGTGGTAGAGAGGGGAAAGTCCACTGAGTGTCACTTTAGGCTCACTCTAATTTTTAACTCTCTTCCCCCAGATGTGACTCCGGCCACCTTTGAAACCCCTGATGTACATACAGGCTCTGGTGTGGTGGGCAGCAAGCCCCGGCCCCAGGGTGGAGACCTCGAGGATGGTGAGTGGGCTTGCTCTTTTGGTCACATAGTCAAGGTTGCTTGAGAATCTTATTCTCTGAAATCCTGAGAGAGTGGTCCAAGGGCCCACATTTTGTCCTTGAGGGGTTCCCTAGCCTAAATAGCAATCTTTAGGATCAAAGACACTGATCTAGGAAGCAGAAGATCCAAATCCAACTCCTGAATGTGGAGCAGTGTTCTGAGCCTCTGGCCTCTCTCTGGAAAAAGAGTCTATCCATCACTGTCACCACCCTGTTCACTGTGCCAGGCCTTGCCTTGTAGGGTTTGTGGGCTTGGAAGGCTTCTTTCCTTGCTGTCTCCTGAAGAGGCCTCAGAGCCATTCTACTTCCATCCTCCACATTGGTTAGTTTCCAAATAACTGCATGGCTATTCCTTCTCTTCCTTCATGTCTCTGTTTAAATGTTACCTATTAGGGCTAGTGGGCAGGCGAGGGTGTGGACACTGGAGATTCCTGACCTAGTATAAAGTCAAAATACCCTGGAAACTTGAGTCTTATTTTTCTCATTTCTGTTTTTTTGTTTGTTTTGTTGAGATTGGAGTTTCACTGTGTTGCCCAGATTGCTGGCTTTGTGTTTTCATTACGGGATATAACATTTAAGAAAGCATCTCTGTGTATTGCCTCTCGCCCTAATTAGTAAGTAGCAGGCTCTCTCCAAGAGTAGGGTCTTGGTCTTCCTTCCATCTGTAGGCTCCACATTTAGAACAGCATATGGTGTGTTGTAGCTGTCAACAGATATATATAT